CTCTTGTCTGGTTGGCTGACAGTCAGAGTTCAAGCGAGGCAAGGCACAGCTCCAAATGGGACCCACAGGTCTAAAGCTCCCCAGAACCACCAAAAGGCTTTCACTCAGAAAGGCTGTACCCGGCCACCACCACGATGATGCCAGCCAGGAGACCACCTTGCAGCCAAAGCCCCTAATCTGTTAAATGATGCCCAGCCCTTTGTGAGAAGTCTGGCCAACTCAGGACAACATTCTAGCAAGTTGCCACGATGTAACGAGCCCCACAGGGACCCAAGCCAGCTCTGCCGTGAGGCCCGTGGGCCTCTTCCTCTCCAGCCTGCTGATTCATGTCAATACAGGGGTGTTTTTTCAGACAGAAGCAGGTTGGAAGCCAGGAATTGTATCAACAGGCTCTGAGGAGAGGCACCTCGATGCCAGGGAGCACAGCATGCGTTAAGAAAGAGCTTTTTCTTCAAAGAACAGCATCCTACCATCTTGTAAGAGATTCAGAAAATACAATCCTGTTAACTCAGCTCTCAAACCTCAATTTCCCAAAACTCCCCGTGAAAGATGGTGTTTCCTCAGATGATACCAATTTTCTTTTCTCTTGCCATGTAAAAATGTGTTCTATTTCCAGAATTTAAATAGCAAATCAGATTTTTATTTGACTGGGCCAGGGCTCGCTTCAGAAGACCTCAGAGAGGCCTGGGAAGTTGTTATCTACATGTACAGTCATTCCTTGTCCCGCACCCACGCCTCTTCAAGGGCTGAGTGCAGACTGTCATTACTGCCCATGGCGGTGCCACAGGGGAAGTGGAATTAGTGACTAAGAAATCACAGGCAGATTTACATTCTCTGTACAGTAGTGCAGTTGTAAACAGGAGATAGTGGCCACAGCTGACCGGGCAAGAACCAAAAGAATGGGAAAGAAAGGGCCAATGGAAAGTTCATGCCAGTGGCCACAACAAAGCAAGCCGCGAACCCGCCCTGAGTGTGCAGTCAGACTCAAGGAGAGAGCACTTTGCCAAAGGCTGGTCAGTGTGCCACCTGCATCAGATACCCTAGCTGGGGAGGAAGGGGGAATGCTGATTGTCAAAATGCAGATTCCAGGGCCCGCCCCAGATCTATGAAATCTGAGGATGAGAACAAGCTGGGATCAGCACTTTTTTTACCACCTTCCCAGGTGATTCTGCTACACTCTGAAGTTCGAGGACTGTCACCTGAAAGCAGAGTCAGTGTGGCTGTGATGGCACATATTCTGTAACTTAAATATTAGGCAGTCATACTAAATGCTAGGTGATTAATGAAAATTAATGAACTGCCCATCTATGAAGAGGGGAAATTAAAACAAGCTGCTTCCTTGAGGGGACTCAGTGATCTGGATAATCTGCACCTGGAAAACAAAAGGTTTGTTCCCAGGGGACATTAGGCTTGTCCTAGCCTGAAGCAGGTCCATGGAAGCCTTGAGGCCACAGAAGCTGGCTGCTTATGGGTTACTCCACGCTCCACAGGCAACCTGGGGCTCCCATGCCTGGTAAAAGTGAAGGTCTCTGGAAGAGGAGAGAAATAAGCTCTGGAGCCCACGTCCTGCCTGCGCTGTGAGAGGGGGTCTGGGTGAGGCTGCAAGGAGCCTCCTCTTACCTGGATCCTTGAAATCTCTAATAACCAATCCCAAGGCCCCTGACAGGAGAAGGCCGCGGGTAGCCCGAGAGATGCTACTCGGCCAGAGTCACAAAGACTGAAAATGCAAAGCTCGTTCAGCTGGGACTCGGATGGCCCAGCAAGGGTTTCTTTCTAGATTTTCACATTCTCGAAAGCCAGATGCAATACCAGCTCAGAAACCTAAAGTGCAAGCGCTTTTCCTCCAGGTTACAACCGTCCTGGAGAGAAAGAGGACAGACCAGGGAGCTGAGGTTGCTTGTAAGTTGGACGGCCTCAGGTAGTAGCATCTGATGGCTCTGACACTTGTTTGTACCACAGCTTGGATAAGCTTAGGGTTGTGCAACTTGATTTATCAACTTCCAAGCCCAGCCGAGCCCCAGCCAGAACTGCTCAGAAAGCCACCCTCAGCACCTTGGCGCTGTCACCAGTCACAGGAGCTTGGCCCTGGCTCCCCCTGCACGGGGAGGTACTCGGACAAGCACGTCACAGCCTCAACGTCCTCATCTGCAAATGAGGATGACAAGAGTAGCAACCCCACAAGGTCGCAGTGGGGATCACACAGACTGTGTATATGGGGAAGGGCGGAGAAGGCATCATCAGCATCACTGTCACTGGCAGATGTCAGAGCTGCAAGAACCCCAGAATGTCCTACGCCAACCTCCTCATTTTACAGATGTGGAAACCCAGTCCCAGAGAGGTTAAAGTGCAGGCCTGAGTTCATGAAGTTAACAGCAGCACTAGAATTGCAGCAGGCGTCCTGCGTCCCACTCCAGTCTGGGATGTGTTATACCCTGGGCAAGGATTTCTAACCAAATTCCAAACCACAGCTAGCAGCAGGACTGAAACTGCTGGGGGTGGGGGGAGGGGACAGTTAACACTTACACGGAAGGCAGGCACCAGTGCAGCAAAGTCCCCAGAACTGTTGCATTATTAATAAACCAAGATGGGGAGTGACAGCTACTCCTAAGTGTGCTGGCAAATTAGGACCCGTTTCACAGCATGAATTATTTCGTTTCCATCTAAGGCCAGGGAACTGTCTTCACACAGACACTCTGGGGACACTGTTTTTCAGTCCAATTCAGTCCAAACCTTATTCCAATATCTGAAACCTGATTTGATATCACACATGAATAGGAACACCCGGGAGGTTCTTATCCCTTTGTTTCTTAATTCACTGAAAACATTGCTTTTAAATATTAACTTCAGGCTGCCACTGAATCACTGACCTTGAGAACAATGAATAAGGGACACAAAAGCACTAAGAAACAAAATTAGTTTTCCAAAGGGAAAGGAAATTAGCCAATTGAGTTCAGTTGATGCAGGTGAGCAGAACAAAGGAAAGACAAAGGTTTTAATTTCTTAAGATGGTAAAATACATATAACACACACAAAAATTTAAGGGCATTGCTTTAAATTTTATTTCACATTTTTACCGTGGGTGATTTTATAGATAAGAGAAAGAAGATTCTTCAAAAGTTACTTTTACGCTGACAGAATCCCTTTCAGTCAGGAAACTGATTTATAGCTATTAAGGTGTGCACAGACACACCAGACAGGGAAGGGACAATAGCCCGGGCTGCATTCCCGCTGAGGTCTCATCCGTCATCTCCTCACAAGCAGCAGCTTCTCCCTTCCAGGGGAAGCTTTCATTGTCCATTACCCAGAGAATTAACAGGCTGGTCCCTGTTCCTCAGCCCCTCTGCACAATTCATCTGGATGCTTGTCAGCCCACTAATGACCTCCCCACAAACCTGCCAGGGACCCTGTCACAGCAGCACCTCTGGCTACAAATGCACAGCCCCCACCCAGCAGTGACAGCCTGATCCTCAAGGAGCATGTCAGTCCTAGGAGGGAAGTTCCTGCCACTCCATCAGGCAGGTTGCCTCCATGAGCCTTACCCAACAGCTGTCATGGGGAGATTGGGGCAGGGGTCTGTGGCCATTACTGGGACCCAAGGAGCAGGCTGGGTGCGTTCGTGCCCCTGGACGTTTGTGTCTGCCATTTTCTCGTCCAGGAGCCCTCCACACCCTACTGTTTGCAACTAACTTCCCCAGCCGACCACGTCCTCTGCATCCAACCCCTGCAATGAGCCCCCTTATCGCACACATAGGTCCTCTTTCATAACCTCCTTGCTATTTCTTAGAGGCTTCCTTCACTCAGAGACCATTTCTGTTTTGTTCACTGCAGCATCTCCAGTGCCTAGCAGGTGACTGATGTTTTGTACATGCCAAAAAGCTGTTGCTGAAATGGACCCCAAGTACTAAAAAGGACCTTTATAAAACCAGAAAACAATAATAGGACATCTTATTCCACCCAACCTGAGCCCCAGCCACCCCTGCCACTGAGTCTTCTTTTAACTTGCTAATCTCTCAAGTAATGAATCTCTACTTGTCCCCAAATCACTGAGCCTGAACTTGCTTATCTTTAAAATGGTGTCATAACAGTGCCCACCACAGAAGGGCCAGGAGATCGTTCACGACAAGAGTAATCATAATAATGACCAGTTATCAAGCCCTTACTCTGGGCCAGGCACTGGGCACCATCCTGTTAAACCCCTCAACTGCTCACTCATTAAATTCTTGCTAAAACATTCTTATTTCTGCTTTCTCAGTGAATTTAAACTGAGTCTGAGGAGGTTAAGTAACTGGCCCTAGGGCACACAGCTAATGAGTAGAAGAGCTGGGTCTCGTTAAACCCAGACTCTGAAGCTCTGGACCAACCCTGACAAAGCGAGTAACACAGTGCCTGGCATTTGGTGGATGTCTGATTAGGAGGGGGAAAAAAGCTGAATCAGAATCTCTAGAGATCCAAGCCCCACCAAAGCCATACTGCCTCGTCCCCACCCTAAGTTTTTTTTGTTTAAGTCACTCCCATCTTCAAAAGCCCATCCACTGGCATTCCTTGCTGCTGTCTGTGGGGTCGGCCAGTGCAGTTAGCCAAACAACAGAATAGGGCGGGAGGTCCTGGGAAGCATATCCCTAAAATGATAGGAAATCTGCTCTGCATAAGGCGCTGATCTGGGTCCTGCAGAACACGGACCTACCCTTCAAGTCACTTACAATCCCACTGGAGAGGACAGTGGACAGGCGGGCTCCTCCCTGCCCTGTACCCATGCACACTTCTACTAGTTAGGAGCACCCTGACTCTGCTCTGGGCACCACGCCTTCCCCACTGATGCAGTTTTACAGGGACTGTCAGTCAAGGTACTTCACTTTCCCTATGCCAATGGGTAGACGCATGACCTAGAGCTTAGCCAAGGAGATGTTCTTTCTAGGACTCTGAGATGCCCCCCAGCAAAGTGGTCTTTTGTGAGATCGCAGGCAAAAACTGATGGATGTGTGCAGAGGTATGACCTCCTGAGAAGTCCTTCTGTGAATCACTCTCCCACTTCCACCCCTGAGACTCACTCACGCTCCTAAGACCAGAATTGAGCCCCACTTTGCTCAGAGTATTAATCTTCCCATCCCTGACAAGAGCCAGGAGAGAGTCTCCCCTGTCCCTATTTTTTTCCATCTTTTTCATTCCAGTTTTATTGAGATATAATTGACATACAGCACTGTATACTTTGGGGGGATAGGGGAGGTAATTAGGTTGTATTTTTTTTTAATGAAGGCACTGGGGATTGAACCTCATGCTTGCTGGGCACATGCTCTGTCACTGAGCTATGCACTCCCTGCCCTGTCCCTTTTGCCCACTCACATCATGTGCCTTCCACTCTGTCATCTCCTCCACGAGGTGGGCCTATGACTATTTCACTTGACTGGTACTAGTCGAAACACCATGTCAGGACCCACTCAGATGTAATTTTTACAATAATTTCCCTCCACACCCCAACAAAGCCATAGTAAATTATTGTGGAGTGTTGTCCTTTTTTTCTGGCTGATGTAATTTTTACAATAATTTCCCTCCACACCCCAACAAAGCCATAGTAAATTATTGTGGAGTGTTGTCCTTTTTTTCTGGCTGATCAGTCAGCTCATTTTGACCTATCTTGCAAGAAAGATACAGGAAGTCTAGCTATATTCTCTGCCAAATAATGTTTGCACCTGTAAAATATTTACCTGTTGTTATAAACTGAATTGTGTCCCCCTCCAAATTCACATGTTCAAGCCCTAACCTCCAATGTGACTGTATTTGGAGACAGGGCCTTTAATGAGGTCACTAAGGTTAAATGAGGTCGTAAGGGTAGAGAGTCCTGATCCAACAGGACTGGCGTCCTTAGAGGAAGAGCCATCAGGAGCCTGTGCTCACTGAGGAAAGGCCATGTGAGGACATAGGGAGAAGCTGCAGCCAGGAAGGGAGGTCTTGCCAGAAACCAGCCCTCCCAGCACCTGATCTTGGACTTCCAGCCTCCAGGGCTGTGAGAAAATTAATTTCTGCTGTTTCAGCCCCAGGTAGTGGTACTGTTATGGCAGCCTGAGCACAGTAACACACCTGTCATCATCCACCCACCCAAACGACAGTCAGCACATAATCTAACAAGGGGAGGAGTCATCCGTGGTCAATACCAAGGCACAGCAAGCAGAGACTGGAATCCAAACAGGCTCACTCACCCATGTCCCCAACATCTAGGAAAGAGTCTGGTACCACAGCAGACATTCAATAAGTATTTGTTGAGCTGAATTGAATCAAACATGATGAATCTCAAGAGTCGTAATTTTTATAAGAATGCTCACCCATCCACCCACTGCCACCAACCTGGGCCAGTATCAACAGGCTGTTGAAGTCAGATTCCCAATTCCACTCTTGTCCACACTGATGGTGTACTTGCAGGTGAGACCACAGACCCATGGCTGCAATACCATCGTGTGGATATGACTCCCTACCACGTATACAATGCCATCCCACTTTATTTTACTCTCCTCACCCATGAGACAGGGGACTTATTTTGTAGGAGAGAGAAACTTCTACTGAGGAAAGGAGCAACCTAAGTCCCCACACCTCAAGTTCCAACCCAGGTAACTGGATTCTGGGGCCAATGCTGGGCCACTCCTGTCTCCAAGAATCATCAAATCTATGGAACCACAGGGTAGAGAAGCAGCACCCCAAGTCCTGGCACCGTGACACTCCCTTCCTCTGTCGCTTCTGCCTTGGGGGAAACGAGCTCAGAAATCGAACTGTTAAAATGTCGTGGACAATCTGGCCGAGGAGTGAATCAGAACTCGAGTGTGCAGTTAAATGAGGACACCCCTTCCTGGACCCAGCCCGCCTTTATGGCAACACTTCATAAGAACCATTCTCTCACAACAAAACTGTCAAATCCAGCAACCGCAGGCCAGAAACATCCCAGCCGAACCCCGCCAAGCTGCTTTCTGATGTACTGTCCACACACATACCAATATTCCCCAGATGTTCTCTATGTAAAACATTTGGTTTGAGACACAGCCCTCCTTTCCCCCAAACTCTTACATTTGTTTAATGGACTCATACAGTTCAGCTAAAATATCCTGGAGCCGACATCTGAAGCCAGCCGGGCTCTGATGCAAGCATCCCATCTGCAGAAGAGACGAAGAAGTAAATAAGACAGTTCTTCCCAAGACTGATGCTCCCTGCATCTTTAAGCAGGTCATAAAATGTAAGCTATGTACAGATAATAATGTAAGTTGCTTTCAAGTGTGTTTCTGAGTCCGTTTCGGTATTAATCCAAGATGGATATTCAAAAAGAGAGTGGGTCTGGCATGACGGAGAGAGGGGGCCACATTCTGCTTGTTCCTCCCTCAGAAAAGAAGTTAAAAACACCTGTCATTTGAACAATTTAGATGACCGAGGTGAAAGTAGGTTTTTTTCCTGGTTTTAGATTTCCACATGTAGCAAATAGCTCCTTTATTCTAAAGCCACTTATCCCTTAAGCCACAATCAGACCACAGGTGAGATGGGGAGAAATGGGAAATGCACCGGACCTTGAGTCAAGAGACCCAGCTCGGCCACATATCAAGTGACCCTGGCCGGGCCCCCTCCCCCGACAATGGCTCATTCTGTTACATGAGAAAATGGAACTTCCCTAGATTCACTGTCAGGCCCCACTCATTTGTGAAGACTGTATGAGTTAGAGAAATCAACTCTTAGAAAAGCCACCCCAAGAAATGGCATGGAATCCATCCACCAAGCCCCTGAAGATGGTCACCCAAGGCTTCCCTGCTGACACAGTGCTAATAAGCTTGGTCGTGACAAACCTGTAGGGAAGTGGAAAAGTGGAACTAGAAAGCCGTGGAGACAGGCTCACTGATAGAATCAAGGGAGGACAACTCAGTTCACCTTTCATCTTTACCTTTTCTGTGTATTGTGAGTTTCCAGTATTGAGCATGCATTATTTATGCTATAGAGAAAAGAAAATGTTATCATTTAAAAGGGTCACAAAAAGGAATGGAAGCTGGAGTAGGAGCAGATAGACAAACTATAAACAGCAGGTTTGAAAACTCCAAAATAAGTTCCCGAAAGATGTCAAGAAAAGGTTTAACTACCTTCAAGATACTTTGTTTTAAGAAGGCAAGAAAGTGTGCGTCCACTGGAGAAAGATTTCCGTAAGAAATGGCTGTAGATTTTTTAAAGATGGTTTGTAAATGGGGGAGCTTCAATTACCTGGAAAAACATATTTAGAGTTCTCTATAACTTACTAGTATCTCCACTTAACCAACACATCAGATCAACCAGAATTCTCCATTTTCTTGATGGAGGTTCATGGCAGGTTGACCCCTAAGGGCTGTTGGCTGCTCTCTGCTTTTCCCACACCCCTCTGTTCCACTGGCCAACTATCTACTGCCATCCCAGCCCAGCCAACTGCCCCAGCATGGTGGCCTCTACCGTCCCTGGGACACCTCATCTTCCAATAAGCCCAGCAAATCTCATGGCACAGTTGTAACTTCCTCCATTCAGGGATAAAGATCCTCAGATTTCAGGTTTGTTTACTCTCATCACTGCCAAGGAAAGGCAAAAAGCAACGAGACATACAGAAGACCGCTATACAGGGCCCACTAGGGCCCAACATACAGTATATGCTCCAAAGCTGCTTTTTACAACTATTATTATGAACAAATAGGCCATACAGAGATGTGTGTAAGTAAGAATCCTACAGAGAGACCTTCAAAATACAAGTCTGAGAGGACAATGTCAGAGGGCAAAGTGAGATGGGGCTTGGGAGAAAAGGAACAGCTGCAGCCTCTTTTGAAAGAGGACATTTCGGGTCACCCCAGTAAAAGAAGTCCCTCCAAATGTACTTCTGTAGCCCCCAGGGAATCAATTTTGCAGGATGGAATTATTTCCCTGAAATAAACAGACACACAAAGGTCGCTACAACTGGGGCCTAAAAAGAAAACAAGCCGGCTGCCGATTTACGGGCAGCCGCTGATGCAACAGAGCAAAAGGTCCCAGCTCAGGTCCAGCGGGATGCTCTGGACGCACCAGCCCTCCCTGTAGGTAGCACGCTGGGGACAAGGTAGGGGAGGGACCTCACCTTCCTGTGGGCAAGGTCCCAGGTTGACCAGGCCTGGATGGGGACACATTCAGGAGTGCAGCCAATTGGGCCTCTGCAGTCGCATGCTGCACTGTGGTTTCAGCTCCAGCCGTGTGCATCTAGGGGCCTACTTCAAAATGGGGCTGCCCGGACCCCATCCCCAGGGAGCTTCCAAAAGGTCCCTAGGTTATTCTAATGCTCATCCGGGACTGAGAACCAGCGGTGTCGCAGGAAGAACCCACAGTGGGTCATACAGACCTGAGTTTTTAACTCCCAGGCAACCTTGATTACTTGAGCAGATCAGTTACCCTTTCTGAGCCTCAACTTCTTTAACTGCGAAGTGGGAATAATGGTCACTTCACGTCACAGTGTTGCTGACACAAGATGATGCAGATAAGTGGCCTCAGTGAGGGTGTCCTGCACACACTCAACAATTATTCTAGAAATGTTCCCTCCTCTCCTCTCGCTCCCCTTGTTTCAAAGTTCTCCCAAGTGAGTCCCGAGTTCTGGGCATCTCCCAACTCTACAGGGTTTCCTGCCTTGCTAAGTGGTGGAAAAAAGGGCTGGGGAGGGAGACACAACTTTCTTTACATTGAACCAACCCACCACACATACAAAATACACACACTCAGAACCCCTACGGGGTGAAACAGACATGTTCTACAGCAAAATTATATAAAAAATGGAGAGTCACAAGCAGCAAAATGAGGAAACACCCAGCTTTTAAGATTTGCTTTGCTTTTCCCATCTAAAGGAAGACCTCTGTGGGGTGGGACTCTAGCTCAGGAGGTCCCTGCCTGTGCCTCTGCCCACCTCCCATTAGCTGCAAGCCTCTTACCTGTGGCAGCACCGCACAGAGCTGGCACCTAGCAGGCCCAAGGAAAGGTCTGGCAAATGAATGAATTATGCTCCTTGAGGCCAGGGAGGGGCATCTGCAGAGCAACAGAGCTCATAATGTCCACCCCTGTTAATCCCCTAAACAGGCATGTCATAAATATCCCTGATTTTTGATTCTGAGCAACTGGCAGAAAACAATATAGAGGCACATCCAGCATGAGGCGTGGGGAGGCAGTGGGGGTCGGGGGCAGCAGCTCAAAGTCCAGTGACTGTAAGCAGCGGCACTGCAGCATTTCAGGGTTTGAGTTCCACTTATAAGTAGTGCAAATATGGGCAAGTGGCTTAATTTTCTGTGCCTCAGTTTATCCACTGTAAAACGGGGACAATGCTGTGCATTAAATTTAATGTGCTCTTAAAGTTGCCACGAGGATAAATTAGGTCTGGGATTCAATGTGCTTAGACTACCACCTGGCACAATTCCTGCTATGTCATTGTTTGTAATATTATTACTCC